GTGCTTGCCGTCTTCAGCTGGAGAAGAAAGCGCTGATATTATAAAACACTCAGGGGCAGGAATATGGTCAGATGCAAAGGCTGGCACAAAGGTTTCCAGGGTGTGCAAAACAATTTTTGTGAAGGAGAATCAATCGATGGTCTTTATTTGATTCTCTCCTTTAAACTCTGCACAATGAGGCAGTCCCCGAAGATGGCCAGCAGGTGGCACTGTGGGACAAGGCTCAGAAAGGTGAGGCCTGCGGACGGAACAAAGGCTGCAGACCTCCCCCCATGGCTTCCCTTCTGTAAAACTAAGTAGTGTTTCCCTCTCATTGTATAAGGAAGGACATGGGAACAGGTGCTCATGCAGCATCAACAACAAAGCCCTCTCCCCTCGTTCTGCAAACCCAAGTTCTAGCCTTGCTTCTGCTACCTCCTGGCGGTGTGACCTTTAATGAGTAGCCTGAAGTCTATCTGCAAGAGGCTGGAGTGGATGGACTCCAGGGTCCCTCTCAGCAAGGCCCTGTCCAGCCAAAGGGCCCTCCTCTTAGACACCTGCCCCCCCTTGCTCAGCCATGATGGACTCAAGCACCCAGAGAGAGGGCATCCGTGTGCGGGGGTGGATGGGGGGGGTCTCGGCAGGGGTCAGTTAGTGGAAACATGCAGAGGACTCACCTGGGAAGATAAACTGCTGTCTATGATGAATGAAGTAGGCAGCTTTAAACAGAAGAGGAGGTGAGTCACATACACAGAACAGCAAACGCAGCGAGGGAGGAGGGGGACACGTGGGCTTGGGAGACAGGAACTGGTTATTGGGCTGGGACGGCCCTGCCTAGCTTACTCCACCCCAGGTGGGCCTGGCAAGGACAGGCTGAGCCATGCAGGAGGGAGGCAAAGAGGAAAGAAATGGGTGCCGCAGGAGCCCCAGGGTACAGGGGCTCCCGAGGACCGGGATTCCAGGGCCTGGCTCAGTGTCACCTTGATACACAGCCCAGTCCAGCAATCTGCTCTGGGAAAAAGCCAGGACCCCGCTCTCTCCTGCTCTGGAGAATGCACGGGAGCCCAGGAGGGAAGACAATGAGCGAACGTGGTGGCTCTGAGAAAGTTTTAACAGTGCCGTGTGTGGGAGAATGGCCTCCTACCCTTCAGTCCACCTTGACCCCTGGAGAGCTTCAACCTCATCCCCTGCTTCCTCCCGTAGACATGTCTCTTAAGGGATGCACCGGGGTTCTGGAATCTGACATGGAATTCTTCTTCTTGTTTGATTTGTTTTGCGTTTTGGAGACAGAGTCTCCCTATGTGGCCCAGGCCGGCCTTGAACTTCTGGGCTCAAGTGATTCTCCCATCTCAGCCTCCTGAGTTGCTAGAATGACGGGTATATGCCATTGCCCAGCAACTTAAGGCAACCTCATTCCACCACGGGGCTCTGGGACCTCGGGAGTCGATTCACCTCTCTAGCTGCCTCACTAGAAAAGGAGGGTCACCTTCCCAGGGTCACCCTTGCAGGCCAACGACACTGTTCCTCCGCAGCCTAGGGCAGGTGGACAGCAGGAGTCGCAGTTCTTTCCCCAGGTTAACTATTGTCCCACCCCAGCCCCAGAGAGGTGGGTCCCAGTGGTCCAATAAGAGATCAGGAAGAGTCAGGCCCCATGCAGGGGACACTGAGGCCCAGCCCCTGATGGGACATCAGTGAAAGTGGACAGGGTTTGGCTGATATCACAAAAAAGGATTTTTTCCTGTAGCTATTGTTTTTCAAATAGGCCCTTCCTTTTAGGAAAAGCTAAACTAGGGGGTTTTGAAAAGGGATGATTTCCGTGAATAACGACAGAGTAGAACAGGAGAGGAGGTAAATCAAACGGGCCGTCGCTGTACTGCAGGAAGGGGTGGGGGCGCTGGGTCAAGGCATCCGTGTCTGCAGACACCCAGCCACGTGCATATTAAAGAAATAAGCCAATGAGAAAGAGCCCTACAAAATCTGTCTCACCACCCATGAAGGAGGTCCCCAGGACCCTGGTGAGGTGGATCAGTGAAGTCACCTGGCTTGCTGCTGGCTGGGTGCAGCCCCAGGGGCATCTCCTGGCACAGAGAAAGCTGAACTTCTGTCCCCCTGGGCCTGGGGCTGGTGGGATCATGGTGGGGGCCTGGCTGGACCCCTCAGCGCAAGAGGGCGGAGGGTCTGCCGTGGGGCCTGGAGCAAACAGGAGTGTCACAGTTGCTCCCCTGCCTTCCTCTGGGACTGTAAATGAAACCGAGGCGGAGACAAGGGCACAAGGAGCTGCCAGAGGAGCCCAGGCAGCAGCTGAGTCCCAACAGCGGTGTACAGGCTTGGCTCTGCCACTGGGAGAGGCAGGACCCCCAGGCTGGGCTTCTGGCAGGACAGAGATTCTGGCTGCTCCCTGCAGACCCGGGGCATCCTGGGCTGTGGGGAGCACTAGTGATCAGCCCTGGCTCAGGCCTACGCCCCCAGCACCCCTGTGGGGACTCGGTGTTCTCATCGGTACCGGGGTACCACCTGATTCTAACTTGACATGGCTTCCTTGGGTAGTTGGCCCTAACTGTGGAGTGTGCAGGTGACAGGTCCATAAGCCCTGTCCTAGGCTTTCTGGCTCAATATGCTGCCTGCTATGCCAACGGGGGGCCGAGAAGCCCGCCCTGAGTGAGTGATAATGCCCAGCAGAAGCCACCGCAGCACAGGAGGACAGTGTGGGGATGAGGCCAAGATCACTCAGCCTGCTGTGTGTCGGGGGGCATGGGCTTGGCCCTGCCTCTTACAGGCTGTAAAACTCAAGGCAACCACTCGTCTCCGAACCTCTGTGTCCCCATCTGTAAAATGGGTGCAGCAACCTCACCAACCCCAGAGCTCCTGCCCTTGAGGTCAGCGTCACATAGACAGTGGCGGCCTTCGACCTTGAACCTGCCAGGGGTCTTCTGACTGCACCCCTGAGAACCCGGAGAAGCCCAGAAGTGTGGTACCTGGGAAGTTGAACCTGCTGTCCCGCTGGCCAGGCGAGGGGTTGGGGGGCGTGGTGGCGCTGGAGGGGTTCGTTGGTGTCGGGAAGGGCGCTGGCGAGGAGGGCGTGGAGGACGTGGCGGAGGAGGGGTTGCTGCTGGAGTCCAGGGGGTTCATGGCGGGAGGGTGCTCCTGCAGGACCAGAGCGGGGGAATGGGGGGCTGAACTGCCCCACCAGGCTGCCCCTTACATGCCAGGAGCCCCCCACTTTCCCACTGCAAAGGAGGCCAGCCAGGGGCCCTTAGGGTCCCACCCTCGGCACTAAAATTTTCCAGGTCTTATTAGATGGCCGCACACAGAGACCCTGCTCTCAAAGGCTCCTGTTCATCTTTCTTCTTTTTTGATGGGGCGGGGGGTACTGGGGATTGGACTCAGGGGCACTCGACCACTGAGCCACATCCCCAGCCCTATTTTGCATTTTATTTAGAGACAGGGTCTCACTGAGTTGCTTATTAGCACCTTGCTTTTGCTGAGGCTGGCTTTGACCTTGCGATCCTCCTGCCTCAGCCTCCTGAGCCACTGGGATTACAGGTGTGCACCACTGCGCCCAGCTCCGTTCATCTTTCTTATTTCAGCTCAAACACACTTTCCTCCCAGAGGCCCTTCCTGGACCCTGACTGGGACCATGCTCCTCCTCTAGTTCCTCCTCTAGCTCCCAGCAGCTCTTCCTCGGGGCACTGTAACTGCAGTTTGTCAACTGCAGATGTCCTCAGGTACTCTGCTGGATGGACGTTTCTCCCACCCCAGTGTCTGCCTGGCTCTGAGTTGGGCAGAGTAGGGTTTTTTTTTGTTGTTGTTTGTTTGTTTGTTTAAGTGAATTAAATCCAGACTCTGACAAAAGTTCATGCAGCATCTACTATGTGCCAGGCTCTGCTAGAAGTAAGAAGAAAATGAGGAGCATACAGTCCTTGTCTTTGCAGACCTTGTCCCTAGTGTACTGGGACTCTCGGTGCAGATACAGCTGCAAAATCCCGAGAGAGCAAAACCCTGGGCTGGTGCAACCAGCCATCCTAGAGGGTCAGGAATTCCAGAGCTGGAATGAAGCTTCCAGAAGGTGACCACAGGAGCTGGTTTGTTGGTCAGGCCTGGTTCCCACTGTTGTCCCAACTTAAATGTTACTGTCATTCCCTTCACACCCCAAAGCAAGTACAGGGCTCAAGGTGGCTCATCAGTGGCCTGGCTAACCAGTGCTTCCTGGACACAGTGCCTCAGAGGGTAGGAGGCAGTTGCTCAAAATAGGGCCAAGTGCCAAGTTCAACCTGTGTCCTCAGCAGGCCCTGGAGACTGGGGGATGCACAGCGTGATGGAGCCCACCTGAGCTGGTGCAGTGGGCCTCACTGGTCAGCAAGTCGACCCTGTGCAGTACCAACTAAAGGAGAAGGCTGGACTGGTCCACTGAGCCCTCACTCTTCATGCTCATCCTCCAAGGCTCAAGACCCTCCACTCATCCCTGGCTTCAACAGTGGCAATGAGGACAGGACTAGTCCTAGCTCCTCCTCTCAGCAGCTGTGTGACTCTGGACAAACTACCTAACCTCTCTGAGCCACAGTGTGAAACCCATAAAATGGGGGTATCCACTTGATGATCCATACAAATGCTTCCCAAGGCAGGCATCAGGAACATGGGGAGCAATACTGCCTGGCCTCCCAGGGCATCTGCGCCAAAGTGGAATGGGGTGCTCAGAGGGGGAAGGGGCTGAAGAAGAGGTCAGAGAGAAGTAGGATGAACCCCATCTC